CCCCCTTACCGCAGGCAGGCTGCCGCCGCACCCCCTTACTGCAGGCAGGCGGCCGCCGCACCCCGTTACTGCAGGCAGGCGGCCGCCGCACCCCCTTACCAGCAAAGAGATGCCATCACGGCAGGCTGCAGAGTCGGGGGTCCGCGCTGCAACGGGGTGTGTGGACCGGGGGTCTCTGAGAAGAGTCCCCGTGCCGGGGCGGGCGGCCATGGCCGAAGGGGAGGTGGACCCCACAGGCCACAGACAGCACGGGGAGACTGACAGGCTTCGGGGTCAGCGGGGCCCCGGTTGGGAGCCGGGGGGAGGCGCTGAGGCCGCGGCCACTGGACCAGGCCAGAGTGCAGATCGCCGGTGTCCTTGCAGGCTGGCCCATCCTCCTGGGGCTGACCGGGGTGCCGGCGGGGGTCCAGCTGCTTCTGCTGCCCTTCTTCCCCGAGAGCCCCAGGTACCTGCTGATTCAGAAGAAAGATGAAAACGCAGCCAGGAGAGGTAAAGCTCCCGCCCAGCCCCCAAGGTGGACGGCTGCAGGCCCCGCCCTGGGCAGGCCTGGCCGCCCACACGCCCTCTGCGCCCCCCTCAGCGCTGAAGGAGCTGCGAGGCTGGGACGACGTGGAGGCCGAGATCCAGGAGATTCGGGAGGAGGACGAGGCCCAGAGGGCCGCGGGCTCCATCTCCGTGGTGAGGCTGTTCCAGACGCGGTCGCTGCGCTGGCAGGTCCTGTCCATCATCGTCCTCATGGCCGGCCAGCAGCTGTCGGGTGTGAACGCGGTACGGGGGCGCGGCGGGCGGCGGGGTGTGCTGGCGTGGGGGTGCCGGAGGCCCGGCTGCGCCACAGCTGCCCCTGCAGTCTCCGGCTTTCCTTCCAGATCTACTACTACGCCAACGAGATCTACAGGAGGGCGGGGGTGGAAGCCGACCACGTCCAGTACGTGACGGTCGGCACCGGGACGGTCAACGTGCTGATCACCGTCTGCGCCGTGAGCCTCGAGCCCAGGCCCTGGGCCGCCACCTTGGGGGGGCCCTGGGCCGCCACCTTGGGGGGGCCCTGGCTGTGGGGAGGCGGGGCCAGACCGCACCTCGCCCCTAGCACCTGGGTTCCCCTCGGGCAGCAGCCTGTCTCTTGTGGGGGACAGGCCATCTAGGAACCCCCAATCTGGAGGCCCCTCCACTGCCAAAGGGGGCCTTTCTCTGACAGCCGACATTCGCCCCTGGACCGGGCGGTGTGGTGAGCCTCCAGCACGTCCCAGGGGGTGCCACACAGCTGCCCTCCGGAAGGCGGCGTGCGGGACAGGCGAGGGCACCCGCCTGGGGTCCTGAGCAGCCTGCCCGCCCCGGCGCCCCCAGGTGTTCGTGGTGGAGCTCCTGGGGCGAAGGCTCCTGCTGCTCCTCGGCTTCTCCACCTGCTGCGCCGCCTGCTGTGTGCTGACCGCGGCCCTGGCCCTGCAGGTGAGGGGGTGCGCGGGGGGCGCCGTGCCCTCAGCTGCGGACAAGGAGGCGAGGCCAGGGTGCCACTCTGCAGCAGCTGCCATGAGGCAGATGCCGGGCCTGCGCCCAGAACCCCGCCCCCCGCGCCCTCCCGGCCCAGTCGGGGGGCGGGGGCCGGCCCCAGAGCCGCCGGGTGGCCCGTCCGGTGCTCTCTGCTCGCCAGCACGATGCGCTCCGGTCTCCCCGCAGGACACGGTCTCCTGGATGCCTTACCTGAGCATCGTCTGCGTCTTCTCCTACGTCGTGGGGCACGCTCTCGGCCCCAGTAAGGACCAAGGCTGGTGCCGGGTTTCACTGCCGCCCGTCCCCTGTGCCGTCGGCGCTGGAAACTTCTGGCCTGAGCGCCTCGGGGGCTGAGTTCTGGGGGGACCGAATACAGCCCCCCAGACTGAATAACCTCTGCCTGGCTTCCCCTGCACAGGGGCGTGGGCGAGGATGGTGGGGGCGGTGAGAGCAGCGCGCAGGTGCAGTGCTCCGGGGTGCCCTTCCAGGACACCCTTGCCCTTGGCCTTCTCGCACGGCTTGGGGTCTGGGAGACACTCGCGCCCGGCCGCAGGGGCCACCCAGCTGCCCTCCCCCACCCGCAGGCCCCATCCCGGCGCTGCTCGGCACCGAGATCTTCCTGCAGTCCTCCCGGGCGTCCGCCTTCATGGTGGCGGGCAGCGTGCACTGGCTGTCCAACTTCGCCGTGGGCCTGATCTTCCCTTTCACTCAAGTGAGTGCCCCGGGCCTGGCTTCACGAACGCCCGGCAGTCGCTCGGGCGCTAAGCCGGGCCGTGAACCTCCTCGCTGTCCCGCAGGAGGCCCTCAGCTCCTACAACTTCATCATTTTTGCTGTGATCTGTCTCCTCACCACCACCTACACCTTCTTCATCATCCCTGAGACCAAGGGGAAGACGTTCATGGAGATCAACCAGAGTTTCACCAAGAGGAACAAGGTGCCAGGCGTGCACCCCGGGGAGGAGGAGCTGGATGAACTCCCACCTGCTACTCTGGCACAGTAGCTGGGACGGCGCTGGGTGCCGGGAAAGCAGGCTGCTGGGGCCGCCCGCGGCTGTTAGCTAGCAGGTGTCTGCGACTGTCCAGGACCGAGACAGGGCCGGCGTGGAACATGGGCCACCCCCGGCCTGCCGGGGGGGTTCTGCCATCCTAAAGCCAGGCTGCCCGCCTCTCCAGAGTGACCTGAGCCCGCCCGGGGCCACAGCCTGCCCTTCGTGGGTAGCCACGTGGCTCCCCGTCACGCAGACTCTAGAACAACCTTGTCACCGCAGTGGCAGAGGGAGCAATCACATCTGACCAGACAAGCAAGCTCTTCTCAGGCCCCGGCTCTTCTGGGCCATAGGAACTTGCTCAGAGCGAGACTCATGCTCCCGGCAGACCCTTCTCCAGAAAGCAACACCTGTTTGGGAGACAGCAGCCCCTCCAGCGGGAAGTTAGGAAACCGGGGAGCTGGCCCCGTGGGGGCGCCAACGGAGCTGAGCTACTGACCTACGCTAGCCTGCTAAAGGACAGTGGGCTGCCCGCTACACCCAATAAAACAGATCTGGTGGCCTTTCGGCAAGCTGTGCTTTTTCTGTGAGCAGGGCAGGGGGGTACGCCCCCACGGTGTGACAGCCCTGAGAGCCAGGCAAGTCTGGCTTGTTCATGCCAGAACAGGGTCTGGAGCACCAGAAAACACTTGCTGAAGGAAGAAGCGAGAGGTGAGGTGGTTCCAAGCTGTGGCTTTGAAATGTGCGCTGAGAAAGCCACTGCCTTCCTTCAGGTGCTGAGTCTCTCCGGGGGTGATCCGGTGCCTAGGAGCCTAACTGAGTCTGAGCTTCATCCCAAGGGGACCCCCGGCCCCGTGGTCGCTGGGTCTGGGTGGTGGCAGTAGTGAGAGCCCACGGGCTGGGCTAGAGTCAGGCAGCAATGAGAAGGTCCTGCCAAGCCGCCGGACGTGGGACACTCGGCCCTCACGGGTGGCTCACAGGTTCCCGACATGGACCCACCGGTGGCCGGGTTGGGGAGAAGACAGTAAAATGCTTTGATGTTGAAAAGGAGGCGCGTGGGGGACCCGCGGAAGATGTCTAGAGGGAAGTCGTCACCCATTCACTCGACAAGCATTTGCTGAGCACCTCGCAGGCGCCGGCAGCGGCTCTAACCGTCAGCGCACTATATGCCGGGGCCTTGGAGAGAACAGGCAGGGTCACACCCCGGGGGGGGCGGGGTTACCCTTGGAAGGGCGGTCCTGGAGGGCCCCCAGGAGGAGCGGTCTGGACCTGCGGGGACGGGAACGTTTTAAGCAGCAGGGACAGCAGGAAGGACCGGGTTTTGCCATCAGCTTGGTGCTGTCGTGACCAGCTTGGGGAAGGGGGAGAGAGGAGCGGGGAGCTGGTCGTGTGAGGAGACCGTGAGGGCTGGGGGGCGAGGCGGGGGCTCGCCAAGAGAACACAGCATTCAGCCGCTGGTGGGCAGAGCCGGTGACCGGTGGGCTGGCGTTCGGGGGCCTCCAGGGCAAACTGGAAGGTAGCTGGAGGCATGGACACCACCCTCCCGCCAAGCGGCCTCTCCACCCAGAACCTGTGAACAGGTTAAGCCTGACAAGAGGGCACAGAGGTCGCTGGTGGAGCAGTTTCTGGGTCTCCCGGGTGGGGACAGTGCGGCCCGGGACGAGGAGACCCGGAAGCCGTCTGAGAAACACCGGCTGAGGCGCCGGCTGGAAGATGGACCTCCAGCAGCTGGAAACGACGGGCCCCGGGGGCGGGCGGGCCTGGACCCCCTCCCCGCTGACACCCCCAGCCCTAGGCCTGTGTCAGACGGAGCGCCACGGAGCCTGAGGTCATACATGTGCGTCCTTTGAAAACACTCGGTTTTGCAGTGATCTGCGGGGCCTCATTGTGGCTACCTCTTGGCGGTCAGGAGGCATCCAAACTCCTAGATGGACAGCACAGTGTTGGCACTGGCCAGGAGAAGCCGGGGACACTCAAAACACACAGCAAAACTAGAAGACTGTGGGAGAAACAGGACTGTCACCTTCAGCGTCGACGGCTGGCCAGTGTGCGTAAGCCCAGGCCAAGAGGCAGGTGGGCACCCCGGGGAGTGACCAGCACACGGGGAGAGACCAGCACACGGTTCAAGGTCGCTGAGAACAGACCAGCTCAGGCGTGAGTCAGCGGCGAGAGGAGAGAGCGGCGCCAGGTCGGCCCTGCACGGCGCCCACCCCCGAGGCGAGCGGGTCCACTCTGCAGTCGCGGGGGGCTCTGTGCGTGGCCGCCCCGACTCCTCGCCCGTGGGTTCTGACACAGCAAGCTGGGGCGTGCCTGGGGGGCCACAGCCACTGCACGTAAGCAGACAGAGGCGCTCACTGATCCTGAGTGAGACACCCCCACAGGCCGTCACCCAGAACAGGCCACCAGGCGCGCGAGGCCTGCCCCTGGCCAAGGGCCCGTCCTCACCTGGTCCCGGGCTAGGCTACCGGGGGCGAGAGATGGGGTGCCGCCCCCAACAGTTAATGACTTTGCTCCTGAGGGCTGAGAAGAAATGAGGGGCACAGTGGACAGGAGAGACGGGGCACGCTAGTCTGCTGTGGTCACCTCCACAGCGTCTCTGCGTGGGTCACTCAAAGCCTGTCCCCAGGGTCCTACCGTCCTAATTCTTCTCGGAGCCTGGAGGCGCCGTCAGTGAAGTCGCACTAGGGACTTTGAGTCTTGTTTTCCCGGCAGAGGTAATTCATCCACTCCGACACCAGCCCCGGGAGCGGCCGTAGGGTTGCGCTCCGAGCGGTTAGCGGCTCCCCCCTGAAGGAGCCGACGTCCAGACCCCGAGGAGGCGCGGGCGGAGACGCCCCCAAGCGGAGGGCCCGTGGGCCAGGCGTGACTTGGTTTCTGAAATTCTGTGGGGGACAGACCCCGCTGCCTCCCCTCCGGGGGAGATCAGGAGCTTCTGGCTGGGGCTCAGCAGAGGCAAAGACGAAATTCACCGTGTGGGGGAAACTTATCTTATCAAGGCGTCCAGGAAAAGTGTGCAGGTAGGGGCAGTCCGCAGGGTCCAGAGGCCGCCAGGGCCATAAAGTCGGCAGGCCTGGGCGAGGGAGCGGCTGGCCCGGGGCAGGGCTCAGTGGCCCTGGGGATCTGAGCCTGGTTCTCCCGGGAGCAAGGATGGAGCAAAACGGGCTGGGGACTCGCACGCCCAGGGAGGGGGTAAGTGCCAAACCTGGGTCACGGCTCTGCCCCTCAGCCCCCGGGCAGGGTCCCCAAAATGCCCCTAGCAAGGAGCGCTTAGCACTGTCTGGCTTTCCCGTGGAAGCGGGGGTCTCCCCAACATCGCAGGTCAGCACAGGGCCAGAAGCTGAGCCCAACTCTAATGTGCGGGACATTTGGGAGGCTGGATGGTGTCAAGGATGTCACCCCCCCACCCCCCGGCCTGCCCCAGCTCTGCCCTTCCGGCCGGCTGGCACTTGCGTGGTGGTGCTGCGGTGAGGCTGGGTGGAGCAGCCAGGCAGCTGATGGGAAGGAAAGGGTCTGGCGAGCAGCCAGGAGGGGAGAGGGCTGTGGCCGACGGGTCTGCAGACCCAGCCATGGCTGCCCCCCCCAGCCTGGCCCCCGTTCTCCGGAGCTGCCCGGGTGGGGGGGCAGGGTAAGGCGGGGGCTGTGGCCTTCCTGGGCCCTGTGCCCGTCCAGGAGTGGCAGGCCGACCCAGCGTGTCCTGCATGGCCTCTGTCGCGCCCCTGTCCGCAGCAGCCTTTCCTCAGGTGTGCGCAGGGTGCTCCCTCCGGTGCCTCCTCCCTTCCATTGAGGCCTCAGCCCGGAGGGGCCTCCCGGAGGGGCTCCCCTGGCCACTGTCCTCACCCACTGGCTCCCCCAGCGCAGTGCGCCTATTTGCCTCTTGCTGTGTGTGTGTGTGTGGCTCCTTCCGAGCCCGGCCCGCGCTCCCCTCGCCCCACAGCACCCCAGAATGTCAGCATCACACGGCAGCGGGACGCTAGTCTCTGCTCTGAGGAATCCCCTCACACGGGCCGGCCCACGGGAGCCTCTCGGTTAGATGGTCACGGAGGCAATGAATATGGGCCAACCGCCCGCAGCCCAGCACCTAACCACCCACCTCCACATTCCGGGGGCATGGCCTGGGCTCCCCTGCCCCCCACTCCCTGCCCCGTCTCAACTCCATTTCCAGAGGCCCAGGTCCCCACCTCCCATGGCCCCTGACCATAGACTTCATCTCTGGCAGGGCTTCCAGCCCACGCTGGTGCTGGCGACACTGAGTGCTGCCTTTGGCTCGGCCTTCCAGTACGGCTACAACATCGCGGTGGTCAACACACCGCACAAGGTAGGTACAGGTGGGCGGGAGGCGGCCGCCATCTTGCTTCTTGGAGGCCGCCATCTTGCCGCTAGGGAGCCGCCATCTTGCTACAACATCGCGGTGGTCAACACACCGCACAAGGTAGGTACAGGTGGGCGGGAGGCGGCCGCCATCTTGCTTCTTGGAGGCCGCCATCTTGCCGCTAGGGAGCCGCCATCTTGCTCCACGGAGGCTGCCATCTTGCTTCAGGAGCTCACCAGCCCATTTTCCCCATTCCCTGGTTGCCGACCTCTGGAGAACCGACAAGGGCTAGTGTTGTTTTCCTCGGAAGTGCCATCCTCTCCAGGGATGTTGAGATATGGGGTGTGTGGACGCAAAAAATGAAACTTAATGAAGGAAGATGAAGAGGGCACGTTAGGACTCAACAGGGAAGGAGTGGTGTTTACTGAACGGAAGTAGCGCCACAGAAGAAAGCCCAGGGAAGCAGGCAGCACCTGTCAGGAGGACGTTGGGCAGGCAGAGGCAGGCCCCAGGGTCTGTGTTCATTCGTTTGAGTATCTAAGGTCTGTTGTTCTTTCAGACAAGTGGGCAGCCAGCCGAGCTGCATCCAGCAGGTGCTTATGGAGGGAGCAGTGTGCTCCCATGTACGTGAAATTATTGCCCCTTCTCTCACTCAGTGCACAATCGTTACATCTACTGGCTGTCCATAGATTCACTAGGTATATGTTATCCTGTAATATAGCTGATGAAGAAATCAAGACTCATAGAGGGAATATAACTTGTCCAAAGTCACACACTCAGTAAACATGTTTCTTGTGTTGCTTCTCGTAAAGCCCTGCAAAGTGAATGTTTTTTTTTTTAAGATTTATTTATTTATTTGTGCATACAGAACTGGGGTACAGGCCAGAGGCTCAGGGGCGGTGAGAGGCTTCACCAGAGACAGAGCCGGGAGCAGAACAGGCAGATCGACGAAGTACACTGCTGAGGGGAGCAGCGGGCGGGTCAGGAGAGGTCTGCCTCGCCATGTGGTCTCCTCCGGGGCAGGAGGCAGGCGGGAATCGAACTCATGCGGAAGTGGCTTCAGATTCTCAGTACTGTGCTTTAACCCGCTGCGCCACCAGGGAGGGCCCAAAGTGAATGTTTTAACAGTGAATTTTAACGTGCTTTAAGCAGTCTGGTTCTTCATCTCACCCCATTACACAGCAGACTTTTCTCAGGGAGCAGCAGAGAATCGGTTGTGTCCTCGGGAGACTGGCAGAAATAGCCCGAGACAGCAGCAGCTGAGGACATGGCCTCCCCATCTCTTGTGAGCTGCCCCGTGTTCTCGGCTCTGCGTGTCTTCCAGGTTCTGAAGTCATTTTATAACGAAACCTACTTTGAGCGACACGGCACGTTCATGGACGAGAAGATGCTGCTGCTCCTGTGGTCCTGCACGGTGTCCATGTTCCCTCTGGGTGGCTTGTTGGGGTCCTTGATCGTTGGCCTGATGGTTGACAAATGTGGCAGGTAAGGGGGGGGGGTGCTCTTTCTCCTAATTCCCGCTGGGAAGCTGCTGTGTCTCAGCAACTATGTGTGGTGGGGACATGTTTCAGGAGTGACCCTGAGAAGCGGGAGGCCTGAAGTCTAGTCCCCACTTGGCCACACACACCACGACCTTAAAGCAAGTCCCAGGGTTGCTCTGGGGTCTCCTGCCCGTGTCAGCTGCACGGGAACAGCACCCCTCTGCCACCTGCCCCATGAAGGCGGTGCAGCCTGGAGACCAAAGTTCCCGGCGGCGCTAACGTAACGCCTAGTCAGCACTGTCGGCAGGTGTGTGATGAATGCTTATTGATCGGGTTTCATTTGTGGTCAGGTGACTCCCAGCTGGGGCAGCTGCTGCCTCTCCCCGTGCAGCCTCGTGGGGCTCGTCCTTCCGAGGTTGTGCTCGCCGGCCTGTCTCGCCTCTGTACTTTGCTTGGCCTGCAGGATTCACTGATCCTGACGCCTAAGCCCAGGTGCTGCAAAGACAGGACGCCGAGGCAGGACGCCGAGGCAAGGTCCCCAGGGAGCGGGGTGAGCACCCAGGGCCCAGGGGGAGCCCCGGCTCCCTCAAGCCTGGGCCCGCCCACACTCACTGCCTCCAGATTCACAGTTACCCTTGCTGTGCAGGGCCGGGAGTTGGTGGGGTGAGTGGAAACCCTCCTAGGAAAACAGGTTTCAAAGAACCAGAGCAATCGGGTGTCCACGCCTGGAAGAAAACATTGCCAACTGAGGATTGCTTGTTAAAGTGGAGTCCATGGGCTCTTACGATGTTTGATGAGCAGGGAATTGCCATGTGCTGGGTGCGTGGGTGGAGGTGGCAGACGCTGAATTATAGTGCTGCCCACACAGTCCTTCAGACTGCCATTGCCAGCTAGAACGAGAATGACTAGACTGTTCTAGAAACCCAGGCTTGGCCTCCACTTCCTTGCCTGAACCCCATAATCAAAGAACTTAGGACCTCAGAGATGGTCTCGTCTTTTTGCAGATGAAGACACTGTGCCCAAGAGTTGGGGGTGAGGCCAGCCTTACCCTAGCAGGCTGGACATCTGTCCCTTTCCCAAAACTGACATCCAGGCCTGAGGAGGGGCTGCGGGAGGAGCAGCAGGCTGGGGCAGGGCTAAGGCTAGTGGGGGCACAAGTGTGGGGGCCACGTGCTCTCTCCAGGCTTCTCGGCTGGCTGATCCTGGGCCCTCAGTTTGGGCTCTGGTGGCAGCTCCGGGGGCTGGAAGCCGGGGAGGGAGAGACGAGAGACCCCCCGGAAAGCAGCGCACATCCGTGAGCCTGGCGCAGCTTGCTTTCGCAGCAGGGGTGCCTGGGTTTCCCCGCGAGCGCCCCCACCGGCGCCGAGTCCAGGCGGCAGGTGGGCCCGTCCGCGGGTGTGGTGCCGCCGGCCGCCAGGCGGGGGCGCTCCCTCCTGCACCTCTGCTGGCCTCATCTCGTGGGCCGCGCTGGCCGGCCACTGGCCCATCAGGGTCTGGAAGGCGGAGCTGGGTCCCGGGAGGCCACAGGCCCGCGCTTCCGCCGTCTCAGCCAGGCCCTGCCCCCCCCCATCCTTGCAGAAAGGGGACTCTGCTGGTCAACAACGTCTTTGCCATCATCCCCGCCATCCTGATGGGGGTCAGCAAAGTGGCCAGGGTGTTCGAGCTGATCATCTTCGCCCGCGTGGTGCTGGGCGTGTGCGCAGGTTCGTGGAGGCAGGGCCCTGTCCCCTCAAAATCTTCTGTCAAGGGAGGAGCTGTAAAGACACTTTCTTTTTCTTTTTCTTTTAAAGATTATTTATTTGTGCATACAGAACCGGGGTACAGGCCAGAGGTGCAGGGGCGGCGAGAAGCTTCACCAGGGACAGAGCGGGGAGCAGAACAGGCAGATCCACGAAGCACACTGCCGAGGGGAGCAGCGGGCGGTCAGGAGGGGTCTGCCGCGCCCTGGGGTCACCTCCGGGGCAGGCGGGGATCCAGCTGGCGCTGCAGGGCTTTAGCTCCTTAGTGCTGTGCTTTGACCCGCTGCGCCCCCAGGGAGGGCCCAAAGACACTTTCACCTTGACCTCCAAATATTGAGGTTTGGCAAGCTGTCGGGCAAGGAAGTTTGCCGTCGCTTGCACTGGGATGAGGTGCTTCGAGCAAATGGGGTTCAGGATGGGCCGCCCAGGCAGCAGGGAGTGAGGTTTCTTAGCTGCTGCGTTTTCTTCACTTAGGAAAGAGTCATACAAGTAACCTGTGCTGCAGAAAACAAAGCAAAGCAAGACTTGTTTAAATCTCTCTGTGGCCCCCCACTACCCGTAATGGGGACAGGGCTCTCACACTGGGAGGGGGAGTGTCCCACCACCCCACCAATGTGCCTGGGCCCACAGATTCTGGAAGGGGCCCTGGGGCCCCTTCTAAGTGGGACTGGCAGCGGGATGGCCGCCTCCATCCCCCATGGGGCGCACCCCTGGAGGAGCTCAGGGTGCTGCAGGCAGGGCGCTGGGCACTGGGCGGCCTTTCTCCTGCTCTGACTGTTCCTTTGCCCACCAGGCATCTCCTACAGCGCCCTCCCCATGTACCTGGGGGAGCTGGCCCCCAAGAACCTCCGGGGCACCCTGGGAACCATGACCGAGGTTTTTGTCATTGTGGGCGTCTTCCTGGCGCAGATCTTCAGCCTGCAGGCCCTTCTGGGAAATGCCACAGGTAGCTGCAGCCACGGTGGGAGAGGGCCAGGTGGGGTGGGGAGAGGTGCAGGGCGGGCCGAGGGGTGCACCGTGGCGGTGGGTCCTATCCCCCGCTCAGCCGCACCCATGTTACTGACAGACAAGTCAGGTGACGCTGAGAGGTGGCCTCCAGGTTGGCAAAGCGTGGCCTAGTGACCTTGACAAGGTCAAGGTGTGTGATGGGGACAGTGCTTTGGGCAGTGGGAGATGACCAGAGACAGGTAGTGTTGGCAGCTGGAGGGGATGTGGGGGAAAGTGGAGGTTTAGCAGCTGGGAAACATCCCGGAACCCTGGACCATGGCCGTGGCCAGGCAGGAATGACGGGGAGCAGGGAAATGGCCGCGGGCAGGTGGGCAGGTGCACTCGGAGACTCTTCTGGCTGCTTCTGTTTCCTCAGCGAAATAGGAGGCAAGGTCATTGCCGGAGAGTGAGGGTGGGGTGCCCCTAGGCCCAGGGGAGCAGCGTGGGTGGGCTAGCCACCCAGGGCCCAGGGGTGTGACATGAACACAGGTGACCTGAGCTACAGGCACACAAGAACAGGGCCTGTCTGATTCCCCATAAAGCATTTTCAAATTCCCCAATGCCAAACAGATTATTTAGTGAGCGGGTTTATGGCTTCTTATTCTGCGCCTTGCCGTGAAGAGGCTCAGAACCCACTGGCTCAGGCAAAGATTAGTATTCACCGTGCTCAGGCTTCCCCAGTACAGGTGGATGTCATGTTCTGAGCATCAAGAGGACCTGAATGGAGACCACACTGGCCTGTCATGCCCAGGGCCACCTTGTGCTGATGTCTGGGGCACATTGTCTCTTCCAACCCTTCCTACTCTGTGTGACACTTCATTATCTCCATTGTTATCACCATCACCATCATCATATTCACCATCACCACCACCAATATCACCATAGTTGTCATCATCACCACCATCACCACCACCACCACCACCATCACCACCACCAAAATCACCACCACCATCACCACCACCAAAATCACCACCACCATCACCACCACACCATTATCACTGCCACCACATCACCATTGTCATTGGCATCACCACCACCACCATCAGCCATCACCATTGTCATCTTTATGCATGGCTGAGGACACCAAGGCTTAGAGAGGCTAAATAACTGGTTCCCATAACTGGGTTGGGGCGGAGCAGCAAGGTCCTCTTTGTCATCCCTGACTCAGCTCTGCCCCCCAACCCAAAGTCAGGAAGGAGCTCGCACAGCACGGTGCCGGCCCATCCCGCAGCCCCTGCCAGCTCCCTAGTGAGGTAGAGATTATGCCACTTCCAGCCAGACATTGGGACCCGGCTTCGTCTTCTCGAGGTGTCACACTCTGAGTCGCTGTTGGTACCAGGCCTCAGGAAACCGTGCCTCGCCCCGCGGGTGAATTCGCAGCAGGAGTTCCCGGCGAGGAGTCCCTTTGTGGGGGGCCCTGAGCCGTCGCCACGGCCAAGACCACGAGACTGGGTCCCTGCTGTCCCTGCGCTCTCCGGGGGCCGGGACGCCACGGGCCAGTGGCCTGGTCAGAGGAGAGGCGGGTCCCGGGGAGGCTGGCGAGTGCCAGCGCCCTGGCACTGCCCGCGCAGCCGCTGTCGTGTCGCCCAGGCTGGCCCGTGCTCCTGGCGCTCACCGGGGTGCCTGCGCTGCTGCAGCTGCTGTCTCTGCCCTTCTTCCCCGAGAGCCCGCGCTACACCCTCATGCAGAAGCGAGATGAGGACGCTGCTCGGCGAGGTACTGGGGACGCGGCTGCGGCACGTGCCGCGGCGTCTCCCCATGTGCCCGAAGCGGGGCGGGGGGGGGTGCACCGCGGTGCCCAGAGGCGCCCAGGTGGGCGTCCTGGCTGGTGCAGGGGGCGCGGCCAGGGTGGGCGTGGCAGTTGGGGTCTCCACCACGGCGCCTGGGGCCTGCTGGGGGCCAGTGAGCGCCCCGCACTTGGAAAGCCCAGGCCGGCGGGGTGCTGTCCTGGAACCCCACGCTGGGTGAGCTGCCGCCAGCAGCAGAGGTGGGGCCGTCTGCTCCCCCAGATCTGCGGAAACTGAGAGGCCGGGCCGACGTGGAGGACGAGCTGGCAGAGATGCGCCTGGAGAGCCAGGCCGAGCAGGCCGCCGGCCGCCTGTCCGTGCTCACCCTCTTCGCCTTCCGGCCCCTGCGCTGGCAGCTCATCTCCATCATCGTCCTCATGGCCGGCCAGCAGCTCTCGGGCATCAACGCGGTACGCGGGCCGGGGGCCGCTGCTCCAGCCCCCCGCGGGGCTCTGCTCCCGGCGGCAAGAGCCTCTGGGGCTCACACGTCCGGCGCCCCCAGGCCGCTCGACTTGTCCAGCTCAACAGATGTTACTGAGCCGCCCCAAGGCGCGCCCAGCCCTCACAGTGGTCCAGCCGGCGGCCAAGGTCACCAGGCGCAAGCCGAGCTCTGTGTCCAGGGAGGGAGGCCGCCTGCTGGACGGCCGCTCGGCAGCTGGACAGCCTGCAGGACCGTCCCCTCTGGCCCGGGATGTTCTTGCTCGCAGCAAAACTGCCTCACTGACACGCAGGTCACCGCCGGGCCAGGGCGCAGAAGCTGGGGCAGGACGATCGTGTCAGGAGACCTCGGGGTCTCCCCACGGCCCACCTTGTTTCTGTGTCACTGCAGAGGCTTGCCTTTGGTCCCAGCCCCCAAGAAACACTGCCGCCCCCCCACGGGCACCAGCGAGCCAGAGGGCTGCGGAGCCTCCGGACAGTGGGGGGGGCGCAGCGGCTCGGTTGGGTGCTGGGGGCATCTCCGTCCCCCACTGTGGTTCTTTGTCTGTACTGTCAATCAGATATGCGAGGGGAGGGTGGGGGTCTGCAGAAACGGGGTGCGGGCTGCCCCCAGGAACATCTGGAGTTGGTCGGGGCAGGAAGAGGCGGCGTCAGCTTTTGGGGCCTCCTGGGGGTTGAGGGACAGAGGTCAAAACTGAATACTGCGGCTTTGCGAAAGGTGGGGGCGCCTGTCCTGGGGCGGGGCGGGATGAGGCCAGGCTGGGGGGAGCTAGAGCAGAGGGAGAGGATGGGCCCGCCTGAGCCGGCAAACTCCCGCTGACACAGTGGGCTCCCCGCCCCCTCACCGCCACCCCGTGCCCCAGGGCCCCCAAGGCCGCCTGGGGGCTCGGGCCCCTCCCAGCCCTGTGCTCCTGTTCTAGATCAACTACTACGCCGACGTCATCTACGCGGCGGCGGG